CAGGAAAAACACGCCCACCACACACCAAGGCACAGAAAACAAGCAAAACACAACAAACATACCATCCTAACAGTACCCCCCCCCCCTCAACGGACGTCTCCCGGCGTCCGACCAGGCTTGTGGGGGTGCTCCCTTTAAAAGTCCCGCAACAGCGAAGGGTCCAAAAACAGACAGCGGGAGATCCAAGAACGCTCCTCCGGACCGTACCCCTCCCAATCGACCAGGTATTGAAAACCCCGGCCCTTCGGCCTAACGTCCAAAATCCGGGAAACTGTGTAGGCCGGGTGGTCATCGATGAGCCGGGGGGGCGGAGGGGGCACGGCCGGAGGGCTGAGGTCACTGGAAGACACTGGTTTCAATAGAGAGACATGAAAAGTTGGGTGAATTTTCATAGCCGCGGGGAGCACCAAGCAGACAGCAGAGGGATTGATGACCTTATCAATCGCAAAAGGACCAACATAGCGGGGAGAAAGCTTCCGAGATTCAGTTTGTAAAGGCAGGTCCCGAGTCGAAAGCCACACCTTTTGACCGACCTTATCCTCCGGCGCAGGGGAGCGATGCAGATACGCCAGTCTTTTGTTTCGCTCTGCTGAGCGCGTCGGTGCAGCTCTGACGTTCCGCCACACGTCACGCATCCTGCGGATGTGTTCTCCCACGGAGGGAACGGCCACCTCCTCTTCCTGCTCAGGAAAAAGGGGGGGCTGGTAACCGTAACAAGCCATAAAAGGGGACATACCTGACGCAGAGCTGGTGAGAGAGTTGTGTGCATATTCGATCCACGGCAGGAAGGAACTCCAGGAGACCGGATGATGAGCTGCCACACAGCGGAGCGCAGCTTCCAGGTTCTGGTTGGCTCGTTCTGTCTGACCGTTGGTTTGGGGATGATAACCCGAGGAAGGCTGGCCGTGGCCCCCACCGCTTTGCAGAAAGCGGACCAAACCTGTGATGCGAACTGCGGACCTCGGTCCGACACAATGTCTATAGGAATGCCGTGTAGTCTAAAAACATGCTGGGTTAGGAGCTCAGCTGTCTCTAGAGCTGAGGGGAGTTTAGGTAGGGGTACATAGTGTACGGCTTTTGAGAAACGATCTACAATAGTCAATATAACAGTGTTACCTGCCGAGGGGGGAAGTCCCGTCACAAAGTCCAACGCTATATGCGACCAGGGGCAGCTTGGGACAGGCAACGGCCGCAGTAATCCGGCCGGAGGTTGGTGGCGGGATTTCCCTCGAGCGCAGGTGGTGCATGCGGCCACAAACTCCTGTGTGTCCCGAGCCATTCCGGGCCACCAAAACCGCTGACGCAGGAAAAGGAGGGTCCGACGAACCCCGGGGTGGCACGCCAGCTTTGAGGAGTGCCCCCACTGCAGGACGGGAGAACGGACCGCAGGGGGAACAAAAAGCCGGTTTGGAGGACCCTACCCAGGGTCAGGATGATCCCTGAGGGCCTCCCGCACCCTGGATTCAATCTCCCAGGATGCGGCTCCAACTACACAGGAGGCTGGGATAATGATGCTCCTTTCCTGGGGTTCTTCCGGAGATGAGGGGGAAACTGAGTGGACTCGAGAAAGGGAATCTGGTTTAGTATTGCGGGAACCGGGACGATAGGAAAGGGTGTAGTTGAAGCGGCTGAGGAACAGGGCCCACCGGGCTTGGCGGGGGTTGAGACGGCGAGCTGATCGGAGGTATGAGAGGTTCTTGTGGTCGGTCCAGATGAGGAAAGGCTGCGTGGTTCCCTCCAGCCAATGCCTCCACTCCTGGAGAGCCAAAATCACCGCTAGCAACTCACGGTTGCCAACATCATAATTCCTTTCAGCGGGGTTTAGACGACGAGAAAAGAAAGCACAAGGATGCAGGTTCAGAGTGTCAGGGTTTCTTTGCGACAGCACCGCTCCCACTCCTGTGTCGGACGCATCCACCTCCACCACAAACTGGAGGGCCGGATCCGGGTGTCGGAGAACGGGAGCGCTCGTAAACAGTTTCTTGAGAACTGAGAATGATTCCTCGGCTTCTGGTGTCCATTCAAATGGCACTTTGGAGGAAGTTAGACTCGTGAGGGGAACAACAACTTTGCTATAATCTCGAATGAATCTTCTGTAGAAGTTAGCAAAACCCAAAAATCGCTGCAGCTCCTTTCGGGAAGCTGGAGTGGGCCAGTCACTGACTGCGTGGATCTTAGCAGGATCCGGCTGGACCTGACCTTGAGCGATGACGTATCCTAGAAAACTGACTGAGGGGACGTGGAACTCACATTTCTCAGGTTTAACATAGAGTTGGTTCTCCAATAACCGTTGCAGAACCAGTCGCACATGTTGCTGATGCTCTCTATGGTCACGGGAAAAAATGAGGATGTCATCAAGATAGATAAACACAAAGTGATTTATCATATCGCGAAAAACATCGTTCATCATAGCCTGAAAAACTGCAGGAGCGTTTGTGAGACCGAAAGGCATAACCAGATACTCAAAATGTCCTAACGGGGTGTTAAAAGCCGCTTTCCATTCATCTCCCTCACGTATGCGGACTAAATGGTATGCGTTGCGGAGATCTAACTTGGTGAATACTTGAGCATGGCAGAGTGGTTCAAACGACGGGTCTATGAGAGGGAGCGGAGTGCAGTTTTTAATGGTGATGTCATTAAGCCCTTGATAATCAATACAGGGGCGCAGAGTGGTGTCTTTTTTCTCTACAAAGAAAAACCCTGCTCCTAGCGGGGAGGATGAAGGACGGATGATCCCAGCCGCCAGCGACTCGTTGATGTAGGTCTCCATTGATGATTTTTCTGGCAGGGACAATTTGTACAACCTGCTGGCTGGCAGGGCTGCTCCTGGATGGAGATCTATGGCGCAGTCATAGGGGCGATGCGGTGGGAGAGAACGAGCTTTCTCCTTGCTGAAAACCAAGGCCAAGTCGTGGTACTCGGGAGGGACAGACGTGAGATCCGGAGGAGGTAATTGGGGTGTCTCAGACCCTGTCTCCAGGGATGCGGATCGTAAGCAGTGGGCGTGACAGGCTGTACTTCACCCCGTGATGGAGAACGAGGTCCAGTTTAGCTGGGGGTTGTGCTGTTGTAGCCAGGGAAGTCCCAGCACCACGGGAGCCGACGGAGAGGAGATGACAAAGAACTGAATGTTTTCACGGTGGTTTCCTGAAATAATGAGAGATAGAGGTGCAGTGCGGTGGGAAACTTTGGCTAATATTCTTCCATCTAAGGCATTTATCACACGGGGAGAATCCAGAACCATCATAGGGCCGTTAATTTGTTGAGCAAAAGTAGAGTCAATAAAATTGTCATCAGCCCCGGAATCAATCATAACATGCACTGGAAAAACTCAAGATGAAACATAAAGAGTAGCGGGCATAGAGCCCCGCGAGGAAGAGCTCGAGACAGGGGAAACTTGGCTCACCAGAGGGCTCTTGGTCACTGATGAGCCTGACCGTTTGACGTCGCTGGGCATCTCGCTGCGTAGTGACCGGCTTGTCCACAGTATAGGCACAGAGAACCGAGCATCCGCCTCTGTCGTTCCTCTGGAGTCAGGCGGGTTCTTCCCAAATGCATGGGCTCCTCTGACGTGGCGGCCGGTGTCCGGTCGGGGCTGCTGGCAGACGTCGCTGCGGGTTTGGGGACAAAGGCTGGGGAAAAAGTGAGTCTCCTGCCCCTAGCCGCTCTCTCTCTTCTGCGTTCCCTTAAACGATTATCAATCCTTATTGCTCATGAAATTAACGTCTCCAACGAGCTAGGGGCGTCCCGTGAAGCTAACTCATCCTTCAGTTCTTCTGATAAATTATGCGAAAACAAAAGTCATTAAGGCGGGTTCGTCCCATCCGCTTTCATGCGCTAAAATGCGAAACGAGATGGAGAAACTAGCCACTGATTGCGAACCTTGTTTTAAATCAAACAGTCCGTTAAGAGCTTCACGACCCTTAACCGAGTGATCAAAAATCCTACGGAGCTCGGTGGTGAAAGCATCATAAGAGCTTAATAGGGTGGATTTGCTTTGCCACAATGCGGTGGCCCACTGAGCTGCCTGACCACGCAACAAATTAATACAGAAAGCTAATTTAGCTTTATCTGAAGGATAGCTTAATGGCTGTAAATCGAACACAAGCTGGCAATTTAACAAAAATCGGCCACAAGAACCGGGCTCTCCGGCGTAAGGCTCGGGAGTGGGAACCTTCGAGAAGAGGGAGCGGTTTCGAAACGAAAAAGGGAGACAGGAGAAAACGTTAAAGGAAAAGGTTTATTTAACAAGGGAGGGGAAGTGAGGGTGTCCTGGTGGAGGAATCCAGTGAGG